ATCACGCCGTTGAATCGCATTTTCTTCAAGTGGAAACAGCAGGTAATAAATATGTATGACGTCCACCCATGGCCCAGACTCAAGTCGAGCGAGCGTGCTGCCGAAACGCTGTCGGAACCGATCGCCACATTTTGTGTAGGTACGGACCATCGCTACCAGGCCTTGCTTATGAGTCTCGGTAGGATAGCATTCAATTGGTCTTATTTTCAATTCACAGAAGAAAAAACAAAGCATGGCGGTAACCACAAATAAAAATGATTGACGTTCAAAGAGCTAAAGTTGTTCAAACTCATCTTCCTCAATTATTGAGTCTACTGGCATTCAAGCCGACCACAAAAAGAAAATACGTTCCACGAAACCCAGGGCCCAGGCTCGAATCGAACGAGCACCTCCCGTAAAGCTGGTAGCATCGAGATCATTGATTGTAGGTGCGGACCACCGCTACCGGGCCTTTCTCTCGTGCCTGCGAACGTCGTTAAAATAGCAGTAAAATGATCGACGTTCAAAAAGCTAACGCCACCTTCCTCGATTGCCTGCGAGTCTACTAGCATTCAAACCGACCACAAAAAGAAGATACGTTCCACGAAACCCAGGGCCCAGACTCGAATCGAACGAGCATCCTGCCGAAACGTTTTGCGACCTGCCGATCACTATATTTAGTGCAGGTGCGGACCATCGCTACCAGGCCTTTCTCTGATACCTGTGAACGTCGTTAGGATAGCATTCGATTAATTTTGTGCTCACGGAAGAAGAAAAAAGCATGGCGGTAGCCGCAAATAAAAAAGGATCCACGTTCAAAGAGTTTACGCTGTTGAAACTCATCTTCCTCGATTGCCTAATACGGGTCTACTAGTATCTGAACCGACTCCAGAAAAAAAATCTTTGACGCACACTCAGGGCCCAGGCTCGAATCGAACGAGCACCTCCCGTAAAGCTCGTAGCAGAGGAGAATATTGACTGCAGGTGCGGACCACCGCTGCCGGGCCTCATTTGTATATGTGAATCTTCCAAGCATAAGATTCAAAATGGCGAATTTGCTCACCGTAATAAAAAAATAAAAAAGGAACCAAATGTACAAATGTACAAATGCCTGGACTCGAATCGAACGAGCACCCAGACAGAACCATATACGAGCACCCATATTCGGTGCAGGTGCGGTCCATCTGCCACCAGGCATTTCTCTCCTACCGGCGAACAGCGTTAGGATCGTAATTGAATCGAACACTAACGCGACATAAAAAGAACCTCTTTCATCATCAATGGATGGCCCAGCCTCGAATCGAACGAGCACTCTGCCGAAAAGCTTCGGCAACCAGACACTTCATTTAGCGCAGGTGCAGATGACCGCTACCAGGCCTTTCTTTCGTATCTATGAACTTCGTTAGGATAGCATTCAATTGGTTTTGAACTCACGGTAAATAGATAAACCAAGCCTCTCAAGCGGATATATTCTCCATAGAAAATTACCAGCGTTCAAAGAGCATAACGCCGTTCAATCGCGTCTTCTTCAAGTAGAAATAGAACACATTCTAAGGGGGCAAATAAAAAAGATGTTTCACGTCCATCCATGGCCCAGACTCGAATCGAACGAGCTTCCTACCGAAACGCTTCCCCAACCGATCACATATTTAGTGCAGGTGCGGACCACCGCTACCGGGCCTCGTCATTAGATCTGTAAATCCTCCAAGGATAGAATCCAAAATAATAATTTCGCTCATCACAATCAAAAAAAGAAAAAGAAAAAACCCTCAGTACGACCTCCTATGCCTGGACTCGAATCGAACGAGCACCCTGCAGGAAACGCTGTGTTCGGATATTCAGTGCAGGTGCGGGCCATCCGCTACCGGGCATTTCTCTCCTACCGGCGAACACCGTTAGGATCGTAATCGAATCGTATTCTCACAAACGGATAGAAAAAAAAAACTGGTCCCGAATACCTACGGCCCAGACTTGAATCGAACGAGCAATCCTGCCCAAACGTTTTGGCCAATTACTCAAGACAATGTTTAGTGCAGGTGCGGACCACCGCTACCAGGCCTTTCCCTCGTGCCTTAGAACGTCGCTCGGATAGCATAATGCATTAAATTGGTTTTGTACTCATGGAAGAAGAAGAAAACAAGGCATGGGCGGTAACCACAAATGAATAAAAATATGATCGACGTTCAAAGATCTAACGCTGTTCACACTCATGTTCTGCAGGTGTCCTAGCCTCCAGACTGACTACAGAAAAAAAATCTTGGACGCACACTGAGGGCCCAGGCTCGAATCGAACGAGCACCTCCCGTAAAGCTCGGCACACTCCACAGCCATTGATTGCAGATGCGGACCACCGCTACCTTCCTGGATCCTGGCTGAAGACGTCTTGAAAATGGCAAGAGTTGAAAAGCCGTGACGTCATTGGGCATCTTGTTTCAAACTTTCAAATCCCGATTCCTAAATAAGCAGCGACGCCCCGGATGGGCGGCGCGCCGCCGACCGTGGAGAACAAGAGATTAAATGCGGGAATGAAGGTACGTACCCCGTCGACGTCAATTTAGCAGAGCCTTGGAGCCAATTCGCTGGATGATTGACGTGCATCTGCGTGAAAGTTATTCCAAGAGTTATTTGACCTTCCATAGACACACGGATGACCCACGCTCCTCTCCGAAAACGTTCCCCGCAACTTCAAAGACACCTTTATCCATTCGATAACGATATAACAAGACTACAAGTTAAAGTTCTTTCTTTCTTTGCTTTTCTTCCTACACTACACCGATACACGTCCATCCGTTCATTTAGCGACTCCGAGACCGCGCTTAGACGGTGCCGGCCGCGGCGATTTTGACGGTCTTGGAGGGGGTCCCGGTCTGCGAACCGAGCGCCTCGATCTGCTTGACGAGTTCCTGGCCTTCGATCACCTCGCCTGTGAGGGATGGTTAGCATGACGAGCAAAATCGGTGGAGCAAGCGGGGTTGGGTTGGCATGGGGAGGACGTCATTATATGAGTATCAACAACGCGCCACCCGGAGTAGGGATGCGCAGTTAAAATGGAAATCGAGACGAGGCAAACAAAGTTGGGTACATGGGACAGCGCGATCGGCAATCGGCAAAGGATCGCGGGTAATCGCGGCAAAGGCGAGACGAGAAACACAACAATTTGGATGACGAGAAACAAGACGCACCGAAAACGACGTGCTTGCCGTCGAGCCACGAGGTGACGACGGTGGTGATGAAGAACTGCGAGCCGTTGGTGTTCGGGCCCGCGTTGGCCATCGAGAGCAGGTACGGCTTGGTGTGCTTGAGCTGGAAGTTCTCATCTGGCGAGCAAATCAGTCTTCAATTTCCAAAGTCAAGCAAAAACCGACGGCGGCGACGCACCCTTGAACTTCTCGCCGTAGATGGACACACCGCCGGTGCCGTTGTGGCGCGTAAAGTCGCCGCCCTGAAGCATGAAGTTGGGGATGATGCGGTGGAACTTGGAGCCGGCGTAGCCGTGCTGGGACGGAGCGCCGCTGACGTCGACTTTCTGGCAGAGCTTGCGGAAGTTGTCGGTCGTCTTGGGCACGACGTCGTCGAACAGCCTGAACACGATCTGCCCCGCGGGCTTGTCGTTAATGGTTATATCGAACTGGGAGAATAATAACCGGGATTAGAATCGGTGCCTCAGGGGACACGGGACATAGGGAAAGGGGGGACATACAAAGCAGTCGGCCATGGTGGTGGTGGTGGTGGTGGTGGTGGTTTGGGAAAGAGAGGGATCGATTGCCTCATCGATCGATGGATGGACGGTTAAATGGCCGGCAAGCCCCGCAGATCGGCTGTCACACCCGGATCACGCATCCGCATGGGCCACCACACGTGACCTGCACTGCTTCCCTTTCCTCCACAACACCGCCCATCTGTCATTGTCAAGGACCTTCGATTTCCTGTGCTCCGATCTATTTTGCTGTGGGCACCTTCTGCTCAGCTAATACCCCTGCTGTGCCGGCGAGCCAGAATACGGGTAGCGGCGGTGCGTGCGGGAGTAAGAATATTCCAACAAGTTCTTGGGCCGCTGTTGGAAAGTTCTAATCCTGTACGCTCGTGTTCTATCTAATCCGTCGCCATCCATCTCACACGAGGCGAGTGACGTTTGTGGGTACACCCGTTCTGGAAACGTTAATCCCGTGTTGAGGATTCATTTTGGCAGCTGCAAAAAAGTCGCCTTCTATGTATAACGAAATTCGCAGGCAGGTAAAAAGGCTCAGTAGCGGATGGCTCGCACCCGCTGCCAGTCCATTGCGATTGTGTCATGAAATTTCTGCGGGAATGCTCGTTCGAATCGAGCCTGGGCTATTACTGCTGGACAAGGAGCATTTTTATTCTCAGTCGCGGTAAGAGCGGACGGCGCGGCGGCGAATAATCCACATGCGGGTTACAATTTTTGCATACCTGCATCGGCTATTTTTTCGAGGAGAAATTCCGATCTTCAATCCCATCCTGACGATCTTCGCAGCTTCGAGATGAAGGCCCGGTCGCGGGAGGTCCGCACCCGCTTACAACGGGTGATATGTGAATCCAAATAAGCGGGAACTGCTCGTTCGATTCGAGCCCGGGCCATGGACAGAATCTGAGCCAACACTTTCTTTTTTCTTCGCAGCAGAGAAACTCGAGTTGGTTAACGACATTTCATAGGCAGCAGACAAAGCCTGTGGCGGATTGTCCGCACCTGCTTACTTTATGTTGAGACCAGATTGACGCAATAAACAGGAGCTGCTCGTTCGATTCGAGCCCGGGCCCTAACAATTCTGTTTATGAGTTCTTTTTCTCACCGCAAGGAGAAAATTCGAGTAGTTTAACACCTTTTAAACGTCGGAGATGAAGGCCTGGTCCTTACTTTGCGTTGGGATAATCGCAGCAATAAAGCGGGAGTTGCTCGTTCGAGTCGAGCCTGGGCCCTGACAGCTGTGTTTCAGTTCTTTTTCTTACCGCAAGGGAAAAAACTTGAGTAGTTCAATGCTCCTTTACACGTAGGAGCTGAAGGCCTGGTGGCGGATGGTCCGCACCCGCCTACTTTACCCAGAGACGATTGCAATAAGCAGGAGCTGCTCGTTCGAGTCGAGCCCGGGCCCTGACAGCTGTGTTTCAGTTCTTTTTCTCACCACAAGGAAAAACTTGAGTAGTTTAATGCCCTTTTTCAGGTAGGAGCTGAAGGCCTGGTGGCGGATGGTCCGCACCTGCTTACTTTGCGCTGGTTCCATCACTGGAATAAGCAGGAACTGCTCGTTCGATTCGAGCCCAGGCCATGAGCAGGTCGTCTTTCTTCTTCTTTCTTTCTTTCTTTTCTCCATAGAAAAGGATATCGAAAATCGAGTGGCTCAATGTTTTATTACTTGTGGCGGATGGTCCGCACCTCCACCCATTAGAAGCGGTGAAATGTTTCGCCAGGGATCACTCTTCGATTCTAGCCTGGGGCATGCGGGGACCAGCTGATCTTTTACGCAGATGAAACCTGTTCCAAATACAAGCTATCTTAACGACGTTCTCAGGTACGAGGAGAAGGGCCGGTTCAATATGAAGCTTTTACAATCGAGGACAAGCTAGCTTAACGACCCTCACAGCAAAGAGAGCAAGGTCCGGTGGCGGATGGTCCGCACCCGCTTACATAGTGCCGGAATTGGACATACGGAATAAGCGGGAGCTGCTCGTTCGATTCGAGCCCACGGCATAGGGAGAATCGACGGCCATCTTTTTGTTTTCACCTTAAGGACTTCGAAAATCGGGTGGTTTAACAACCTTTACAGCCAAAAGAGCAAAGCCCGGTGGTGAACGGTCCGCACCTGCACTTGATATCTTGTTCGGGAAACAAAAGGGAACGCTCCTTCGAATCAAGCCTGGGCCATACCCGACACTCACTTCGTCTTTTCACACAGCGGGGTGAAACCCGTTCCAAAATACAAGCTATCTTAACGACGTTCTCAGGTACTACGAGGAGAAGGGCCGGTGTTGGATGGTCCGCACCAGTGGGAGGTGCTCAAGCCCCGGCCCATAAAAAACTCGCTTCTCCATTTTTTTTTTTCCACCGAAAAACGGTATACGGTCATCAACCTTAAGCTTTACAGCTAACATAGAAAGGCCTTGTGACGGGGATGGTCCCCATCTGCACTCGATATGTCGTTCCCAAAATCTCTGCAGGGATCGCTTGTTCGAATCGAGCCCGGGCCATAGTCCGACACTATTTCCACTTTTTGCACAGCGTGGTGAAACTAAGTCAAGATTATAAGCTATCTTGACGAAGCTCTCAGGGCAGAAAATAAAGCCCGGTGGCTGATGGTCCGTCCCCGCTTACATTAAAATGTTGAATCCGCCGCAACACGCGGGAGGGGCCATGGTGGGAGATACTTACTCTTTTTTCGCAGCAGACAAGCTCGAGTGGGCTAACGACATTTTATAGGTAGCAGACTAATGTTGTCACGACTCGGAAAGTCGAGTCGTTCCAAGTCAAGTCGACCTAAGTTGATTTCCCATCGAGTCGAGTCGAGTAAGTCGACTTGAGTCGACTTTTCTTGAACAAATTTCAGAAACCCGTTCTAAGTGCTCTGCAGGTTGAAAAATGCAAAAAAGGAAAAATATACATTTTTGGCTGTCACACAATGTCACCAAGTGTGACTCTGTCACTCCTGTCACAAATTTTGACCATGTCCCCAATTTGTCTCCAATCACATTTTTTCGACGAACAGGGCAACTAGGTTGTGACCGACTCGAAGTCGACTCAAGTCGACTTGAGTCGATAAAGCGACTCGACTTGACTTGGTTTAAATCTACGACTCCAAGTCGACTTCGTCGGCTCAAGTCTGGAGTCGCGGCAACATTATAGCAGACAAAGTTGTGGCGGATGGTCCGCACCCGCTGCTTCATAGTACGTGGCAGAGGGAAATTGTGGGCTGGTTTCATTCGAACCTGGGCCCGGGGGTAATGTTTCGCAGTTGAAAGAAACGCGGTCTTTACAGGTAACAGCGCAAGGCCTGGTGGCGGATGGTCTGCACCCGCTTACTTTGTGCTGAAAACCACCTTGCAATAAGCAGGAGCTGCTCGCTCGATTGAGTCCGGGCCCTCGGGCAACTCCCTTCTCCATTTACTTTATTTTATTTTTCCTAGAATCCGGACGTCGACTATTATAGCTTGGAACCTTTACAGCTAACATAGCAAAGCCCGGTACCTCTAATGGTCTAATATAACCCTTTCTCTCCAGCGTCATACAGGATTATCAGCCGCATCTGTCCTCTCTCCCTTCAAAAGTCTTCCACCCCAGAAGTCCCAAATAAATGCCAACTATGATAAAGAAGGACTCCTTCTAACTTGCGCGTCCGAGTCGACTGGCTCTTCCATCTTCGCGTAGCGAGCCCGGCATCTTCCAGCCACCGTTCTTCGTTAGCCTATCTTCTCACCCAGTGTGGACCACTCCTTCACCCCTTGTATCCACGCAGTGGGGTTCGGCTTCAGTTGCTCTTCACCCTTGGGCGGCTTGCACCCTGGGCTCGGCTTGTAGACATACGGCTGTATTTGATTGGGGTCGGCGGGAGTGCTGCGTCCGCCACAGTGGGTGTATAATCGGCACCTAGCTCGGGCGATGATGATGATGTCGGGGTAAGTAATCCGAATATTTCTCAGAGGTCTTTTGTCCATAACTGATCGTGTGACAGCTGGACGGCTCATGGTTTGGTTTTTAAACAGTGCGACGTGCAGGGGAAGAATTTTGGGGTGAATGAATGCAAGGAGAGAGGATGATTGGAAATCTGTGATGCATGAAATAGAATGGTGTTTTAATCCAATTCCTTATCAAAACTGAGGGAGCGAAAAAAAGTTGCCGACCGATTTGGCCACATGCGCGTATTATATTCAAAAAATACCCGTTAGAGCTGTAAGTAGGTGAAAAATGATGCTACGGAGTTTCTAATTGTCAAAATCTGTCCAATGGCTTCAGAAACACCGCAATTGACGTCTATAATACACTGAAAAGTGACCTAAAAGTCCTCTGAGATTGAAAAAAAAATCTCGGACCAAATCGGCCACTAATTTTTGGTGGCGGCAGCTAGGTGACCGGCACCATAGAGGCCTTCTTCAGGGGCCTATCTCGCATTATAAGGACTTGAACACTGGATATCAGAACCCAGGTTCAGCTGTTCAACTCTGTTTCAACTTTCAACCTGTTGAGGTTCACCCACTTGGTGCCTCGTGGCATACAGAATTCTCTCTCAACCCTTCAGGATGGCGATTGATAGTCAACTGACAATTTAGAGAAGGGCGAACGTAAACTTGAAGAAAACTACACAGAAATGAACGAGTTACTTGCGTTTGTTTGGCTGTGCAGCATATGTTTGATTGCCGAGTCATGTGAGGGTTTCAGGCTCTTTCTTCAGAATCCACAACGACCATCATCGATTCACGCCTTGTAATCCTTCTGCTTTATTTATTGCTCCATATGCTCTGCAACTCCTTACTATACTGACGTCTATCATTCCCCCAGGCTTGCCCAAACTGTAATGGTATTGTACAACGATTCAACGTGTCCTAACAACAGGGTCGAACGTGACCTGCCCGAGCCTCACAGTCATCCAAGAAATAACTCAAAAGGAAATTCACCACCCAAACCTCGCATTCCACCGTGCTATCCGAAAGCCCCCCGAATTTGGTTCCCCCAAGCAGCTCGAGCCTCGTCAGAGCTCTTTTCCATTTTAGACTCCGCACCGAGACGTCGCTGTTCCTGGTTTCTGTTGGAGATCTTTTCTTGTCATTGGCCCGTTCGTTTCCAGTGATGCGAATGTTCAGCTCGCGCCATATAGCCTGCAGGACGTCCCCTAACACCACAAATCCGCCGGACGCGTGTACCGTTATCGCCCATGGCAGAAGCGGTGAAAGCGGCTTCAGCGACGGTAGACCTGGGAACACCGCTGGCTCCGCCAACACCCCAGGGTTCACTTCCATCCACGCCTCCGGTAGTGCGAAATCTACGTCGATCTCGCCGGCTACAGTTGATTGGGCGCCGCACCGGATTCAGCGTGACGGCGGTAATGCCCGTTACCTGCGCTGGGAGCGCGATGGACATCACTTGTTGACACCTGAAAGAACTTCTTTCAATAGAGTTGAAATTAAATCTGCCGAATGTAAGGCTGAGAGCACTTGTTCTTTCCAGTGATGAAATCTAAAATTAGCCCCTTCATTGTTGCTTTCAGGTCGGTCGATACTCTTTCCTTTCTGGCGGAAATTCTTTTTTTCTGCCTGTTCGAAAGATGAACTTTCTGACCATTGGAAATTGCGCCGGAAAGAGTCTCGTCCCATCTCCCTTTCAACAGATTTGAAAGGTTTCTATCTTAGATGTGTCGCCTTTGGCTCGACTGGTTATACAGCTCAGAAAGTTCACTGAACGCCTTGGTTATCGCCACTGCCGTCGAATGGAATCAAATGTTGACGGTTATTTCAAAATTGATAAATTGAACAGACCAAATTTGAGCCATCGAGGGAAGCACTGTTACAATTTTAGAGACCTGTAAACTACGCCGTACTAGTGGTCTCTGGATTCTGTCAAATAGTTTAACAAGCAAGCACGGAGAGTGAAAGGGTAGCTCCCATAAAGGACAGACATACAGCCGTCGACGGTAGCAAGCACTGGCCCCAGTCTCCAGGACTGCAGACGAGGCCTGGGCAGCAAGGAACCGGGCCGTAATAACCAGCGACATAGCACATATCCCAGAGAGGGTTGCACTGGAAGCAAGTGTGCAGCTTTCGTCGGAAAGCAGAGATATATGCTCACGGTATCGCGCGCAGTCGGGAGCGAAGAACCACTCGCGATAACTGCTGCCCTGGTAAATGCAACTGCGGCAGAGGCGATCACGAGGAAAAGGAAATTGAGGGAGACCATGATAATAACTGCGTTCTTGCAAGGGCACAAGATAAGTCCGATGCATCATTCGACTTTTATAGGCGATCTTTGGTGTAGTGCATGGGGGTGAAGATAGGTGACACCTCACATGTGCCAACTACTCGTGACCGTCCGAGGCTGTCCAGACCGAAAATGAACCGAGAAATGAGGTTCTTTTTGATGCGACAAATAATTCATTTTCAACACCTTTGG